AGTGGATATAGTGGGTATAGTGGGTATAGTGGGTATAGAGAATGTAGTTATTATAGTGGATATAGTGGGTATAGTGGGTATAGTGGATACAGTGGGTATAGAGGATGTAGTTATTATAGTGGATATAGTGGGTATAGAGAATGTAGTTGATATAGTGGGTATACTGGATATAGAGAATGTAGTTGATATAGTGGGTATAGTGGGTATAGTGGATATAGTGGGTATAGAGAATGTAGTTATTATAGTGGATATAGTGGGTATAGAGAATGTAGTTATTATAGTGGATATAGTGGGTATAGAGAATGTAGTTGATATAGTGGGTATAGTGGATATAGTGGGTATAGAGAATGTAGTTATTATAGTGGATATAGTGGGTATAGAGAATGTAGTTATTATAGTGGATATAGTGGGTATAGTGGATATAGTGGGTATAGAGAATGTAGTTATTATAGTGGGTATAGTGGGTATAGAGAATGTAGTTGATATAGTGGGTATAGTGGGTATAGTGGATATAGTGGGTATAGAGAATGTAGTTATTATAGTGGATATAGTGGGTATAGTGGGTGAGCGTAAAGGCTGTTGTGGTAAAGCATGTTCTGCACCAGTGCCTGGAAATAATGATCATATTCCCCATCAGCAATGTCATCCTGTTACACGGCGAACGCACGATTGACCCATTAGTATTACAGTGCTGCTGAAGATGAGCTGTGATTGGATCATCATGGTTCAGTCACTGCCCGAATATTACAGTGCATAGAGGTTCCACACTGCGGCGCAGTACTGGGAGCCAGGCTTCCTTTCAAACTCACATGAATGACAAATGTTACAAAATGAAAAACCATGTAAATAAAGCTGAATTTCTACCAGAGAATCAACATCTCTACGTCACATCTGTAACAACCTCTCTGTGCAGCTTCACATTCAGGTACTTTCTTATCTCTTTGGGTCCTTTCTTGAACCTTCTGGTCCTTTGTAGAACCATACATTCCTTTCCAGAAACTTTCCAGTTCTTTCTTGTCTCTCTTGGTCCTTTCCTGAACCGTACAGTCCTTTCCGGCACTTTATAGTGTCTTCACTCTTGGGGTCCTTTCTTGAACCATACAGTCCATTTTAGAACCTTGCATTCCTTTTTGAAACTATCTAGTCCTGTCCTGACTCTTGTGGGTCCTTTCTTGAACCATACAGTCCTTTTTCGAACCTTGCGTTCCTTTCCGGAGCCCATCTAGTCCTGTCCTGACTCCTGGGGTCTTTTCTTGAATCTTATGGTCCTATCTAGAACCTTGTATTCCTTTCTGGAACATTTCTAGTCCTGTCTTGACTCTTGAGGTCCTTTCTAGAACCTTACTGTCCTTTTTACAACCTTGCATTTCTTTCTGGAACCTTTGTAATCCTGGGTTGATTCTTGGGGTCCTTTTTTGAACCGTACGGTCCTTTTTATAACCGTGCATTTCTTTCTAGAAAATTTCTAGTACTGTCTTGACTCTTGGGATCCTTTCTTAAATCTTGTGGTCCTTTTTTAGAACTTTGTATTCCCTTCTGGAACCTTTCTAGTCTTGTCTTGACTCTTGGGGTCTTTGTTGATACTTATGGCCCTTTTCAGAACCTTATGTTCCTTTCCGGAAACTTTTAGGTCCTTTCTTGACTCTTGGGATCCTTTCCTGAACCTTCAGTCCTTTTAAGAACTTTGCATTCATTTTCACGTCTTGACTCTCGGGGTGCTTTCTTGAACCTTATGGTCCTTTTTAGAACCTTTCCAGTTATGTTCTAACTCTTTGGGTCCTGGGTCCTTTCTTGAACCTTACAGTCCTTTTTAGACCCTTACATTCTTTTCCAGAACCTTTCCAGTCCTGTCTCAACTTTTTTTTTTAAGGTTTTTCTTGGACCTTACGGTCCTTTTTAGGACATTCCTTTCTGGAACATTTTCATTCCTGTCTTGACTGTTGGGGTCCTTTCTTGAACCTTATAGTCCTTTTTAGAACCTTGCGTTTCTTTCTAGAAACTTTTCCTTTCTTGACTCTCGGGGTCCTTTCTTTAACTTAACAGTCTTTTTTAGAACCTTGCATTCCTTTCTGGAACCTTTCCATTCCTTTCAGTGAACTTTACAGTCCTTTTTAGAACCTTGCATTTCTTTCTGAGATATTTTCGGCCATTTCTTGAATCTTGGGGTTCTTTCTTGAACCTTATGGTCCTTTTTATAACCTTGCGAATCCGTTCTAGAAACTTTCTTGTCCTGTCTTTACTCTTGGGGTCTTTCGTGAAACTTATGGCCCTTTTCAGAACCTTATGTTCCTTTCCAGAAACTTTTCGGTCCATTCTTGACTCCTGGGTTTTTTTCATGAACCTTATGGCCCTTTTTATAATCTTGCAATGCTTTTTAGAAACTTTCAAGTCCTGTCTCGACTTTTAGGGTCTTTTCTTGAACCGTACGGTCCTTTTTAGAACCTTATGATTTTTTTTGTCCTGTCTTTGCTCTTGGAGTGCTTTCTTGAACCTTGCATTCTTTTCCAGAACCTTTCCAGCCCTGTCTTGACTTGGGTTTTTTCTTGAACCTTATGGTCCTTTTTTCAGAACAGCGCGTTTCTTTCCAGAGCCTTCCCGGTCCTTTCTTGCCTCTTTGGGTCAAAAATAAACTTATGTAGAGAGTGAAATGATAATAACATTTGCAAGTTACTATGGTTACTATAGTTACTAATGAATAAATATTAATAGCTATTATGACGAATGACTCCAAACTTTTAAGCAGTGGTGTAGCTCACTCAGGTGAACAGTTCTGGCTGTGTGTTTATTCTCCAGACAGAAGCGCACACGACACACACACACACACACACACACACACACACAGACACACACACACACTTGTAGTTTACACTAGGCTCATAAAGTGTGTGTGTGTGTGTGTGTGTGTGTGTGTGTGTGTGTGTGTGTGTAATCGATGCTCCATGACTATTAAACAGATGTCTTGCTCTGCATCCACAGAACATAAAAAAGCGGCTGGCAGGAACGTGTTCAGACACACACACACACACACACACACACACACACACACACACTCCTCCTGTCCCTCGCTTTCAGCCATGCATGCAAGGTGACGTCCTCACACTGCTCGTACCTCAAGGGTTCTATATAGAACCATGAACACTCAAAGAACCATTTGCATGTTTAAGTGGTTCTCTGCATGGTGAAATGGTTCTTCAGATTGATGGAGAATGTGTTACATTTGGTTCTATGTACCACTAAAAAGGGGTTCTACTATTGTTACAAGGTTGATGTCATAAAAATGCCAAAACCCTTTTTGGTGTTATATAGAGCCCTGCACAACACATTCTCCATCAATCTGAAGAACCATTTCAGCATGCAAAGTTTTCTTTGAGATTTCATGTTTGTGTGTAGAACCATTGTCTTTACTAAGGAACCCTAGTAGAACCATCTTTTTCTGAGAGCATAGGTTTACGGAGAGATCCTGCTTGGTGAAACACAATAAGCCGACATTAAACAACAACACAACAACAACAACATCGATGTTGTGGCAGATACATGCAGAAAGTGATGATGCTGATGATGATGCTCTACAGCTCCATGTGGTTCTAACAAGGGGTCGGCAACATGCGGCACCGGAGCTGCATGCGGCTCTTTTACTGTCCTGTTGTGGCTCCACAGCAGAATCAGATTTGTAGGTAAAAATAAAATAATCCTCCTTTACAGTAAAATAAAGCTCTGCTGATCGTTCAACACAGTTTAACAATAAATGGTCTTAAACTCTGGAGTTAATGTAGAACTGCTAATTCACCCTTTAACCCTGAAGATCAGCGCAGACTGCTGGTCACCATAGCAACACAGACAACAATCTCGCCTAGCTAGTAGCTAACGAAATGTCAAAGAGAGAGATTTAAGATGAACATCGCTGATTTGGAGACGAATGGACTTATTTGTGTTTATAATCAGTCCAGCTGGTTTCCTGATACATTTAATCTGCAGCGAGAAACTGACGAACACTAAAAAGTCATGAAGCTGAAGTTTCTCATTCACCAGCTTCTCATTCAAATTCTCCCGTTCCGCCTTAAATGGTGCAGCAGTTACATTCTGGCCCCTCAGGCACCATTTAAGGTGGAACGGGAAAATTAAAAAAAGAATCTGTTGAATGAGAAACTGACTTAAGCCTCGTAAAAGTCGAACGTTGAGAGACATTTTACAGAAACTGTTCTACTTTTGCGGAAAAGTTTCCTGCCGGAGATGCGAGAGAAGCGGCTATAGCTGAGTTAAAGCTTGAAGCAGAGCAAAGTAAGTCTGTGTTTATGTTCATATTACATTTTTAGTCCATACTAGAACATTAACACATACTGAGACACATTTACAGCCAAGATGGTAAAATGACACAAAATGTGGTTTGATTTTTGCTGAACGGACAGAATGGCTCTTCTGAACATTTGGGTTGCGACCCCTGGACTAAACGGACTGAGAACGCTCTAGAACATCGCGAATGAGGTACTAATAAGCGTAACATCCAGAATCCAGCTCGTATTTGAGGTGTGGTTGCCAGATCTCAGGCTTATAACTTATGGAGGAATCACTGTGCGTTGATGATCACTGGTGTCCTGGGGGTTGTCTCTGAGGGGCGGTCTGCTGCTGTGTGTCAATGTGTCAGTGTGTGTGTGTGTGGGGGGGGGGGGTATACATCTCAGACACGCACACGTGTGTGTAAACATGCAAGTGTATTTATGCATATATACGTATAAGTGCGCGTGGGAGCTCCGCGTCTCCTCGAGCGCTTTCTTTTCTTTCCTTTTGTTGAACTCTGTCTCGTCCGGTAGGTTGCGCTGCGCGCGCTTCCCCGAGCCTCTCTCCCTCTCTCTCACACACATACCCCCACTTCTCTCTCGCGCACACACAGTGGGAGAGCGAGAGAGAGAGAGTGAGAGAGAGAGAGCGAGAGAGTGAGAGTGTTTGAGCACATTGCTGTGCAGCAGCCTCGGCGAGGCGCGAGGGCTACCGATGCCTGAACGTCGCACGCACTAACGCAGACGCTCACCCGCGCGCGCACGCAACTTCTTATGGATGATAGTCCGGAGTAGCGCGCGGGATCCTGGCGGAGCGGATTTAGCAGCACGAAGAGAAAAAGGAGGAAAAAAGGTACTGTGCACGCGGGACTTCTCTCTCTAGGCATGTGTGCTTGAGTGTGCGCGTGTGCGTGCGCGCGCGCGCGTGTGTGTGTGTGTGTGTGTGTGTGTGTGTGTGTGTGTACTGCGGTAAAGCTGCCGGACGGACCGGGGTGTTTGGGTCCGTGTGCTCGAGCTCCTGTGTGTGTGTGTGTGTGTGTGTGTGTGGTACCGATGAGCTGCGGTCAAGACTGCTGGAGAAACGTCCCGAGTGAGGAGCGCGAGGCGAGAGCTCAGATAAATGACATCAATGTGTGAACAAGGAGTGCGCGTGTACTCAGTGTGTGGGTGTGCATGCGCATATACATACACACACATATATATATATATATATATATATATATATATATATATATATATATATATGTACATATATGTATATACACATGCATATATATAAAATGCATTTATGTGCATATTTATTTTTATATACTAGTGCAAAACATACCATATACATACATAAACAAATGTGAGGTGTGCTTTTTTCTAGAGTGTGTGTGTAACTGTTGGGGTGTTTGAGTGATGCAGTGATTGTGTGTGTGTGTGTGTGTGTTAGTGTGTACTTGTGTGTGTATATTGTTCTGTATAGATATATGTACAGGTGATGGTAAATGTGTATCTGTGTAGTCACTGTGTATGTGTGCAGTGTATATGTGTAGTGACTGTGTATGTATACAGTGGTTGTGTATGTGTGTAGTGCTTGTGTACGTGTGTAGTTGTTGTGTATAGGCCCATGTTTTGTGGTTGTGTGTGTGTAGCAGTTGCTCATGGGTGTAGTGATTACACAAATGTAGCGATTGTAGTGACTGTGTGTGTAGTGATTGTGTGTGTTTTTGATTGTATATGAGTATGACTGTACTGATGGGATATGAGTGTAGTGATGGGTAGGATGCAGTGATTGGGTTTCATGATTGTATATGAATGTATTGGTTGTATGTGTGTGTAGTGACTGTATATGAGCCTATCAACGCAATATATGAGTGTAATGATTGCCTATGAATCTATCGACTGCATATGAGTGTGGTGACTATATGAGTGTAGTGATGGAGTATGAGTGTAGTGGCTGCATATGAGTGTAATGACTGAATATGAATATTATAGACTGTATATGAGTGTAGTGATTAAGTATGAGTGTAGTGAATCCATATGAATATTATAGACTATATGAGTGTAGTGATTGAGTATGAGTGTAGTGACTGCATATGAATCTGTCGACTGTATATAAGTGTAGCGACTGTATATGAGTGTAATGACAGCATATGAATATTATGGACTGTATGAGTGTAGTGATTATTTATGAGTGTAGTGACTGCATATGAATCTGTCAACTGTATATGAGTGTAGTGATTAATTATGAGTGTAGTGACTGCATATGAATCTATTGACTGCATGAGTGTGGTGACTGTATATGAGTGAATTGACTTATGAATCTATTGACTATATGAGTGTAGTGACTGCTTGTGAATCTATTGACTATATATGAGTGTAGTGACTGAGTATAAGTGTAGAGACCGCATTTGAATCTATTGACTGTATAGCAGTGTGGTGACTGTATGTATGTATGAGTGCAGTGATTGAGAATGAGTATAGTGACTATATGAGTGTAGCGTTCATATGAGCTTATTGATTGAGTGTAGTGATTGAGTATGAGTGTAGTGACTATATGAGTGTAGCGTTCATATGAGCTTATTGATTGAGTGTAGTGATTGAGTATGAGTGTAGTGACTATATGAGTGTAGCGTTCATATGAGCTTATTGATGAGTGTAGTGATTGAGTATGAGTGTAGTGATGATATGATTGTAATAATTGTATATGTGTAATCACTGTATATGATTGAGTATTAGTGTAATGACTATATGGGTGTAGTGACTGAGTATTAGTGTAATGACTATATGAGTGTAGTGATTGAGTATTAGTGTAATGACCGTGTATGAGGGTAGTGATTGAGTATTAGTGTACAGACTGTATATGAGTGTAGTGATCATATATGAGTTTAGCGATCATGTATGATTGGTTGATTATATATGAGTGTAGTGATTGATTACTAGTGTAGTGATCATGTATGAGTGTAGCGATAATATATGAGTTTAGCGATCATATATGATTGGTTGATTATATATGAGTGTAGTGATTGATTACTAGTGTAGTGATCATGTATGAGTGTAGCGACAGTGTGAGTGTAGCGATCATATATGAGTGTGGTTGATTATATATAAGCGTAGTGATTTAGACACTTTATGTGTCTGAAGTGGTTGTTAATAATTTGCATATTCAGCAGTTTCTCCATGTGAAAGCGTTTGCCGGTTAAAGCAGCGGAGCAGCGGAGTGGAGAGCAGTGCTGATCTGCAGTGTGTGCAGACTGGGACAAAAGAGAGTGTGTGTGTGTGTGTGTGTGTGTGGTGTGTGTGTGTGTGTGTGTATGTGTGTTGAGTCTATGCCTGTGTGTAAGTTGCTGAAGAAAAATAAAAGGAAAAAACCTGATAATGAGAGCGATATTTGGAGACAGATTGGTTTACGTAAGACACACAGACACACACATACATACACACACACACACACACACACACACACACACACACACACACTATGTGAAGCAGTACCACACCCACAGGGGCACACAGCAGCAGCCAAAGTTTCTCCAGGAAATTATTGTGGACCCTTTGTGTGTGTGTGTGTGTGTGTGTGTGTGTGTGTGTGTGTGGGAGCGAGAGGGAGGGAGTGTGTGGTGGAGACAGAAAGGAGGGGTGAGCGAGGAAGGTTTTGTCTCTGGTATAGGACTCTCTCTCCCTCTCTCTCTCCAAACAGCTGTCTGAGTTATATGATACGGCTTTTTTCTGTCGCTCCACCTGTTCAGTTCTGTATGTCGTCCGTGTGTTTGGGTTCTCCGCTCACACAACATGCAGCGCATTTACTCCAGCTTTCCACTTTTCAGGAGACTCACATTCAGCTCCTCAAAGAATCTGCAGACTCGCCTCCAAAGTTCAGTCTTAGAAGCTGGTTGATCATTTTCTGAAGTAATCAAACCCATTCAGTGGTGTTGAGGTCTGGACTCTGGGGTGGTCAGTCCATCATTCAGCTTCTGTGTTTGATGTGTCCGTCTCCTTTTCTCAGTGAGGTTCTTCTTGATCAGCTACACATCCTTTCAGACCCACAGCGCTGAGTCGTCTTCTCACAGTGGAAGGATGGACAGAAACACCTGTGGATGTTTTCAGATCTGAAGCAGCTTGATTTTCTCCTCTCTCTCAGAGATGAAAGCTTTAAGTACTGTTTATCTGATGGGGGCAGTTTTGGGGTCGACCAGGTCTTCCAGGTGGTTGTTAGGAGCCTCATTTTCTCTGGAACTTTTGGAAACTCCTGTTTTTTCACTTTGACCCCTCTCCTCACAAACATCTCCTGAAAAATGAAGAACTTGCTCTTTGCTGCTGTTGGAAGAAAACCTTGTGTCTCCAAAATGGTAACTTTACAGGAGAAGGAAAAAACATGCTTTACTTTTAATGTAAGTCAATGGAACCAGACGCTTTTTTAGGTCATTTTGGCCCATTTCTTTTGGTCTATTCATCATGAAATTTACACACAATAAAAAGGGCAACAGACAGTTTCAAATTATGTCAAAAACTGAAAAGCAACAAAAACGGACATACATGGTTTTCTTCCAACAGCAGCGACTTTTTAGTTTTGACTGGAGATTAACTAAGTGAAAGGGGGTCTCTGACTTTTGCACAGTACTTACTGTTGCTCTGTTGTGTTTACGTTAGTATTCAACTTCATTTGTGATAAATATGAGGCATTAACTAAGTATTAATTCTAAATAACACATTTAGGGTGGGGGGTGTGTGTCTTAGGCCCCCTAAACGTTGAGGAGCGGCGCCGATTCTGGCGGCAGCTTTTTCAAACTTGTAGAGATGCAGCTTCGGTTAGAGACAGAGGCCCCTCCCCCACTCGCCCTGTGCACAGCAACTCTGCGTGGTTTTGGTGTCGAGGGGGTCGAGGGGGTTCTCAGCATCTGCCTGTGCCAAATGCCAACGCTCTCCGGACGCTTCGCCTTTACATACCGTTAGACATTAAATCTGAGAGAGAGAGAGAGAGAGAGAGAGAGAGAGAGAGAGAGAGAGAGAGAGAGAGGGGAGAGATAGAGCAAATGAGAGAGAAAGAGAGAGTAAGAGACGGAGAGAAAAGAGAGAGAGAGTGGGGAGAGAAAGGGAAAGGGGGAGGGAGAGAGAGAGTAGAAGAAAAGAGAGAGGGAAAGTTTTTGTGAGTGTGTGTGTGTGTGAGGGGGGAGGGTGTGCTGATGTGATGCTGCTTCTGCTCAGTGTTTGTGTCATTGTTTGTGTGTGTGTGTGTGTGTGTGTGTGTGTGTGTGTGTGTGTGTGTGTGTCTTTTGTTCTGTGTTGAATGCTATGTCAACTCAAGAGCCCCTCTAGACCCCCTAATCCAACTCTCTCAACCGTCTCTCTCTCTCTCTCTCTCTCTTTCTAACCTTCTCTCTCTCAACCGTCTCTCTCTCTTTCTCTCTCTCTCAACTGTTTCTCACTCTTTCATCTCTAACCCTCTCTTTCACAACCGTCTCTCTTTCTAACTCACTCTCTCAAACCTCTCTCTCTCTCTCTCAACCATCCCTCCCTCTCTCTCTCTCTCTCTCTCTCAACCATCCCTCCCTCTCTCTCTCTCTCTCTCACTCTCTCTTCCACTTTCTGTTAATATTGCCGTCCTCAGGCATTTCTTTGTGCTGTTTTCTGTTTATTTATGTATGTATTTATTGTGTGGAGAGAGAGAGATGTTGGATAAAGAGGAGAGAGAGAGATAGAGAGAGAGAGTGGCCGTGTGTGTGGATGTGTGTGTGTGTGTGTGTGTGTGTGTGTGTGTGTGTGTGTGTGTGTGTATGTAGTAATCACTGTGCAGTAATAACGCTGCGTGTCAGCAGTAGTTAAAGCTCGGGGGAGGTGTGGGGGGAGATCACAGTCTTAATGAACACT